ACGTCCGTACGTACCGTACGTACCGGTACGTACGTACGTCGTACGTCTCTCTACGTCTCTCTCTCTCTCTCTCTCTCTCTCTCTCTCTCTCTACTCTCTCTCTCTCTCTCTCTCTCTCTCACTCTCTCTCTCTGTGTGCGTGTGCGTGTGCGTGTGCGCGTGCGCGTGCGCGTGCGCGTGCGCGTGTCTGTCTGTGTGTGTGTGTGTGTGTGTGTGTGTGTGTGTGTGTGTGTGTGTGTTCCATTTTATGCGTGTATGTGTGTTTGCGTGTGTGTGCGTTCATGCATTGTGTGGTTGTCGTTTGCTCTCGCTCGTGCTCTGTGTAATTTTGCGTATGGCGCAAGTATTCACCTTTCTCTAGCTCACTTCTGTATACTATTCCAGCTCTTTTTACCTTCTCCCAGCCCTTAGTAATCATAAATGTGCTTCTCGTGACTTCTATGTGCTTTGTAGACACTTGATGATTGTAATAATAAGAAGGAAAATGATATTAACATAATAATAATAATAATAATAATAATAATAATAAGCTGGTATCATGCTGTTTTTCGTCGTGGTAGGGCATCTGTCACAAGAAGGTCTTCTGCGATATCTCATGTCGGATGAGAACCACATCGTCGCTAAGGAGATTCTCGACCAATCAGATGACTTGACGCAGCCTTTGTCTCACTATTTCATCCATTCGTCACACAACACGTATCTGACCGGTAAACAACTCGAGTTTTCGCTGTGCATAACTCTGTTATACAGAGCATGTACTCATAGGTTATGCATGACACGGAACTACTTATGTTAATAGGGAATACCCACTCTCCTCGTAACAAGGTTTGTAGATTGAAATTCATGGCCTGTTCGGGCTCAGGGCAAATTTGACTGCTGTGCAGACGTGATTTATTTGCCCACAACGAGATTATTTTGTTTGCACACTCATGGAAAGTCGTGCTCTGTAACTGAATTAATACATCATGCGACTTTCTAGTACAAGTTAACTGTGGTTTCCACTTGATTATAATTATGTGTTCTTCTGATATGGCTAATGATGATGAAGATTAGTATTGATTTCATAATATTCTGCTATTGGCATTATTTACAGGGGGTGAAACAATTAAAAATCAAAAGATTTCCTACCAGCTAACCAGTGTAGAATCCTAGTTTAGGCATTTTTCACACCTATATTTAGTGTAACTTCGCTAGAAACATTGACTATTCACATTATTTGTGAATGAACTTCAGAAAGCATTTGGATGCAACAGCCACTAGCCTGCCCTCTTTGCATTGTTGAGTCCCCGCGCGTTTGCATGGCCATTTGCACAGCGTACACAGGCAAAGTAGTTTGACTTACTTATCGGTCTAGTCTAAGTGTCAGTGCCAAGTGTTTAAACTTTGTCGTCCAGGGTATTTTTTTTTATTCTTGCGTTATATGTGTGGTCTGCAGTATTGGTTATAACATTGGGAGGTTAGAACGTGCAACAAGGGGATCCAACACATATATACAACGGGGTTAATTTTTACTCAACCGTGAAGATTGGAAACGTACCGCTGACGTTTCGCCTCCTGGCAAGAGGCGAAACGTCAGCGGTACGTTTCAAATCTTCACGGTTGAGTAAAAATTAACCCTGTTATATATATTAGTCTACCAACCGAATGAACTTATTTAATGAGAGATCCAACACGTTGGACAATCAGCATATCACATTTTCTTATATCGTAGCAAAAACATGGAAATGCTGCTTTCAGCAGTCTTCGATCCTCTCTCTTACATCAAACTTGCATTGCCTAATCGTATGTCAAGAAAGACTACCAGAGAGAAAACCATTCCATGTTTTCTTCGGGAAACTGCGATATATGAAAGCTACACTCTGGCTAAACTTGTTTTTCACAAATCGGTAATTTTAACCCAGAGACGTCTTCCATATCTAAACATTTTCCAGCTTTCCTTTTACCCATTACCAGTCCTGTTTGCAACAGGCATACGATTTTGTGCAGAAGCATGCAAATTTCACATTCTTTACATGCCCTGTGTGTGATGGGTTTGCGATTTTGTCAATATTTTCCATTTCTAAAATCTAATTTTGACTCTCCCATGGATTCCGCACTAGGGAAACATTCGTCCTAGGTAATTGTATCTTGGAGATCTATATCACACATTTGTAATGTAATACAATTTCCCTTTTTATATCTACTATTTTTTTTACTTTTTATCAGTATGACGGCGATTCCGTCGGCTATCTATGATGTTTAACAACTTCAGTCATATAATCTTGGCTTTTTGTCTATTAGTTCTTGCAAATATCAGCTAACGTCTCCGTGGGTATCCCCTGCTCTACTATTCCATAGACCTCGCCGGCTTGCCTGTCTCTGCCTCTTTGCAGGGGTTCTCTTTTTTAAAAAGCTACCATCACTAGATGTTTAAATATTGGCGTTGGCCTGCAAGTGGCTTTATGAAAGGCTCTAATACTGTCAGCCAGCTGCGGTTAGCGGTCATCGAGAGCCTTATTGCTGTCCGCGTTGTCGGTCAGTCTGTTTCGCAAACGGACACCAACGCGTTCGCAACGACGAAATTCGTTTTTATTTTGACCCGTGGGACTTCTGCCTCGTTCGCATTGCATGTCCTCCATTAGGGTGCTTTACCACCTGCGTGAGTTTCGTATTACTCCCCAGGAGGCCTACAGTTGAGAGGCGACCTGACATGCTTCAGTGAAGCCACCTGCTCGGTGGCTGCTCGCCCCTTGCTTCACAGATCATGCGTCTCACTGCGTCATCTCCATGGCCACGTTTAGTCTGCCCTCCGTTATACTCATAGTGGCTACTAGCTCGCAGCTGCGTTACTATAGGACGTCACCATTCAACCTTCTTTAGTAATTTCTTACAAGACATCGACCTAGGTTTATGCCATACACTCGTGGGAAATTCTAACAACTCTATGATCCTGCTTTATACGGCTGGTATCATGGTGTAGCCATATTGTGAGTGGAATGGTTCACATAGTGTGACACATCCACCTGTTTAGATACATGCCAATTTTCACATAGTGCAACGGGCGTATGATTTTTTTTTAAATATTTTTATTTTACAAAATTCTAGGAATTGCAGTTTCCAAAACTTAACGTTTAGGGGTCCAAGGAGTTCAAAACGTCGAAAACATATAATGGGTAGAACGCCTGTCTACTGCAGGCTACAGTTATCGGTGCTGTGCGCTACTTGTACCTCGTTAATCTCATTTAAATTGTACACGTTGCTGTTGCCCTTATTAAAAATCTCCATTTACCACTACCCTGGCCCTTCTAGTACTATATTCAGTATATAGCTTTTCAATGAGATTTGTCATTCGTCTTTTATCAGGTCACCAGTTGACAGGTAAATCGTCGGTGGAAATCTATCGACAGGTGCTGCTCTCTGGCTGCAGATGCGTGGAGCTAGACTGTTGGGAGAGAGAAGAGGAGCCCATTATAACCCATGGCTATACTATGTGTACTGAGATTCTCTTCAAGGTATATTATATTTGTGGCAGTGTCATAGTTCTCAAGTGTGATAGCAGTGTTTCAAAATAAGTCACAAAACCCATTGCACTGCTCAAACACTTTTACATTAAAACTCACTGCCCTTAGACATTACTTTTACTGTTCTACATGTGGGTTATATACAGAACAGTTTAACTTTTTACTTTTTACTTTTTGCAGGAAGTGGTTGAAGCAATAGCAGAGAGCGCCTTCAAGACATCTGATCTCCCAGTCATTCTGTCATTTGAGAATCACACGTATGTATCACTATATGGTGATGCCCTAGATTTTGTACTTATAACTCATCATTCGCCACGATCTTTTATCAACGTAATGAGAAAGGTATTGAGTAGTGCCATATTCTTTGCTCAATGGCCTAAAAATGAGTTTGCTTATTCTCAGCCTATAGAGAAATCGAATATGGTCTGTAATGTGTGTTGCTAGCAGTATTATGGTGTGCTTTAGACTATAAGCTTTATCAACAACACACCCAACATGGGGATTTCAATGTTCCTTTCATATGAGTTCTATGGCTTCGTGTAGCAACGCGGATATACCTCATTGTGTATGCATTAAATTCACAGTACTCTTGTCGTACTCTTGTTGTTGTATAGTCATTGGGCACGCAACGATTATGACACGTTAATGTACCTTTACAAATTAAAGCTTTGACGCTAGCAATCTGGGTATACGCATATATAAGATTCTGTTGTTGACGTAGTGAGGTGTTTTTTCATTAGTGGAACTATCGATGCATGCTGCTAGCCGTAGTTAGAGAGGGGCATAGAGAGGAGGTGTAGAGAGAAAGAGGGAGAGGCTGTGAGACAGAATGAGGGAGATGCGGAGCATGAGAGAAGGAGAGTCATAGCTATATCGATTTGTCTGCATCATTTTAAGCTGCTCCCATAGACTTCTCTCAGTGCAAGTTAATATGTCAGACCAATTATATCAATGGGCTATTCATTTCATCTGCCAACCAATTAATAATCATAATAAATTCAAAAGGGAGAGCTTGTAACGATTAGGCAAACTGTCTATGCAAACTGGCAATGTGGACAAGATGTCTAATTATTTGCTTTGGTGGTGACGTTTTTTCCTCCCAAACCGAATAGAATGCCAATTTTAATTTTTCTATTGTTCTCGCGCAGAACACCAAAGACACAAGAAAAGATAGCAAGATACTGTAAGGAGATATTCGGCGATGCTCTTCTTACAGACCCGCTGGAATCGAATCCAGTAAGTAACACTGTTGTATTGTAAATTGTGTTAGTGAGTGAATAAATGTTTAAAATAGCGGCAGTGGGAGAATTTTCTGACAGGGCATGTTAATTGACTAAACAAATTGATAATTAATATTCATTTGTTTGTTATCGTGTCATATGGTTTGTTCATGCGTTTGTTTGTGTGTGTGCAACAAGTATCTGTAATGAACTATAACCACGGTGAATAGTATTATGTTTGTTTGCTCTGTACTATATATAATGTTGACTATGTTTTGTCTTACAAATTTCTCAATGTCTAAATGTTGAAATGTTTTTTGACTAACATTTTCCTGCCTACAAATCAATAATGTTGACTATGTTTTGTCTTACAAATTTCTCAATGTCTAAATGTTGAAATGTTTTTTGACTAACATTTTCCTGTCTACTAATCAATAATGTTGACTATGTTTTGTCTTACAAATTTCTCAATGTCTAAATGTTGAAATGTTTTTTGACTAACATTTTCCTGTCTACTAATCAATAATGTTGACTATGTTTTGTCTTACAAATTTCTCAATGTCTAAATGTTGAAATGTTTTTTGACTAACATTTTCCTGTCTACTAATCAATAATGTTGACTATGTTTTGTCTTACAAATTTCTCAATGTCTAAATGTTGAAATGTTTTTTGACTAACATTTTCCTGTCTACTAATCAATAATGTTGAATATGTTTTGTCTTA